GTGCTGTGGAGGGTGTGTGTGGCAAAACACAAAATGGCTGCCACATCGAAAAGAACAGAAAAAGAGACAGGGAAACAAATTGGTGTAGGCATGTCCCTGGGGGAAAGAGAAAGACACCTACATCAGCCACTACTGCACAGAGACAAGCTATTTGCACCTCAAAATGGAAAGGTGGGTGGGTGTCTAATCCTTGAATACAAAGAAATGTGGGCATATTTAAGGGGCATGTTAAGTGTAGGGGTAGCCAAACTAGAGCAAACAGAAACTGAACAGGAAGCACAAACAGTTTCTTGTACATTGTGGATTTTGCGGAGATATTTATTAAGACCTTTCTCAGGTGCAACAGAAGGTACTGTTGGCCTGTTTGACTTTGGAATAGATCGCCTTGGAAGATGGTGGACTCTCCTTCATTGGAGGTTGTTAAACATATGTTGGATAGCCATCTGTTAGGGATTCTTTAGCTGGGATTCCTTCATTGTAGAGGGTTGAACTAGATGACTTTTGGCATCCCTTCCAACTCTACAATTCTATGATTCTATGAAAAGCTCCAGGTTTGTTTGGTTTTTGTCTTTGGTGTTAGGGAAGGGGTAGTACCTCTGTGGGGGACATGTTTCCTACCTTTGGTCTCCACTCTGCTCTTAGCTCACAGCTGGGGCTCCTAGAAGCTGTCACCATGTGACACTGGCAACACCCCAGGAAAGGGTTTTGATTGGCTGGCTAAACCAGGTGAGGGTAGCCAATGGGTCTCAAACCTTTGGTGAGTTAGGGACTTCCCCTACAAGTGAGCAGACAAGACCAATAGGGGGTCCAATGATTCAGAAGGCAGTTGGAGCAAGTAAGGGGCAGATGAGGCTCATCAACCTAGGCAGGTAGCCAATCTAGGAAAAAGACAACTCTGATCCTAAACCTCCTCTTCCTTGAGGGACATCTTCAGGAGAAGAAAAGGCTAAACCCTGCACAGTCCAGAGGGGAGTCCCTAAGATGATTGGATGGCACCTTCTATGCCTCCTTCTGGCAACTCCTGCAGCCAAATGGTTTGCTCTGCTTTCCTTTGGACCACATCAGCGAGGCTGAGAGTGGGATCTTGATCATCTGGGCAGCTCAGGACCTCCCTACACACTGCCCAGGCTTGCACTCCAGGGAAGTCATTTCAGTGCTGCTAATGCAGCGGTTTGTCTTCACCCCCAGAGGCACACTCCATTGTCTCCCGAGACAGACAGATTCCAACAACAACAGTATTCCTCCAGATGGCAATGATTCAGTGACATCGGGGAAGCATTGCAGAACAACAACTAAAGTGAAATGATGTATTGAGGGTCCGGTAAAAATCCTGTCATTGACATGTTGGCGAATCTGGAGAAGTCCATGTTTTTGCTGGCTTGCACTATCTGCTGCTATGGTTTTCAGTTGCTATGACTATTTCACATTTGGTTAGACCTTCCCATAGCATTGACCTGGCTGTGATGATCAGATCACCTTCACTACAGAAGGTTAACACAGTGGTGCTCTTTTGACTGTACAGTAGTAGCAACAGAACGAAGCAGGAACCATTAAGAGTTGTATAGAAGGAAACTATCCTAGAGTGTTCTGAAAGCAAAAATAGAAGCCCAGGTTTGTCGTTTTGTTATGAGTTGCACAGTGTGCCTTGCTTTTCGATTGAGGTCAGCCGTGTGCATAGTTCTATAATCCTCTGGGGCAAAATGCTCCTTTGGGCTTTGAAAGAAGAGTTGCTATCTGGCCCAGCCGTATAAGGATTCCATCAGTTTTATTTTTGTGCCACACATTGCTGATGCTGTATTATATAACTTAGTTTTAATGATGCAGTAAAACTCTGGAACAGGAAATGAATGGGCAGGAAAGTGATAGCTATTTAATACAGTTCTAAAGGTTGTAGGCTGGGTGATAATGCTGAATTTAATTACATTCACTCTGTCATAAACTATGATTGTTAGTCATAATATTATTGTACTCTGGTGTGTTTTAATCAGAACATTATTATTTTTTAAGTGCAGTGGACTGGATTTGCACTAAAGGCATAAGATTGTAAGAAGAGCCTTACTGGATCAGGCCAAAGACCTTATTACTCCAGCATCCAGTTTTTTCAGTGGCCAATCAGATGCCTACAGGAAGCCCACAAGCTGTATCATATCTTTTATTTTCTTTTAAAATTTTGTTATGATTTTCAGTTATATACATTTCAATAGTTTTACAATCATTTAAAAATTTCGAAACTTGACTTCCTTCCCCCTCTTTCTGCGGTTCCTTTAATTTTTTTTATGTTTCCTGCATATTCCAGTTTAACTTAATTTATTCATTTATTCATCTTGTTTTAATATATACTCTTATAAAACTGCAGGTTATGACAACAATCCTGCCAATGTTCTTATCTGTTTATTGTTTGTTTGTAAATATTCAGTAAACTATTTCCATTCTTTTATAAAAAATTGTTATCTTGATTTCTTATTTTTCTAGTAAGTTTTGTCATTTCTGCATATTCCATAATTTTTTGTATCCATTCTTCTTTTGTCAGGACTTCTTCTTTCCATTTTGGGGCTTGCCATTGCAGTCGCATATATGAATAAATTTATATACAGTTTGGGTAGTTCTCTGCCCCAATAATTACCAAAAGGAAAGCTTCTGGTTTGTTTGTTTTTGTACAAATATTATTTTAAACATCTTTTTCAATTCATTATATATCATTTCCCAGTAAGCTTTAACCTTGCTACAAAACCACCACATATCATTAAAAGTCCCTTCTTTCTCTTTGCATTTCCAACACTTGTTTGATTTTGATTTACACATTTTTGCCAATTTACTTTGTGTTAGATACCATCGATATAACATTTTTGTTGTATCATTTTTAATGGATAGGTGTGTGAAATGGAGTGGGAACAGGAAGGGATTACTTAGATGTAATGGAGTCAGAAGCAGGGATGGTTGAGAAACTCACGTCACTTTGCATTTAAAGGCAAACCTACCTAATTTATGCTTTCTAAAACATCTATAAAAATGCATGTATGAATGACAATAACATACAAAAATGCATTTTGTTTAGGGGAAAGTGCATCAGATTTTTATATTTTTATTTTTTTGTGCATATTAGGAAGAATTGTATGCAAATAGGTATATGAGGAGAAATTCACACTAAAATGCTGATAAATTTCCAGAAGGATTTTAAAGAAATAAATTAGTAAACTGATATGGAAATGTGAAGAACAGAAGTCTGTAAAAATGAGAAAATGGAGAGAAATCATAGCTGACAGATTTGCCCATCCCTAGTCACAACGAAGATGAGAGGCTTTAATAATTTGGGGTGTGGATGAATTGTTGCATGCTGTATTTACACACACAAAACACACACACGCCACAAAGTGAGCCTTGAATTAAGGTTGTAGCAATATCTGGTGCTTTATTTAATTTTAATTCCAAATGGCAAACAAGCAAATGTTTCCAAAGTTATTGCAGATCTGTGAAAATGAAAGAAACAGCTGTGATATCAGCCTTGGGAGCGTAAAACCTGAGATGTCTCTGTGTCAGTTGAGGATTGACTTATTGAAAATGTATATTGGTTTAGTAGCTTTCCAACTTCGAGGACAATCAAAAAGTCAGGTGAGGTGGGGGGGGGAGAGTTAGGTTTCCTTTCTGGAACTAAAGTATGTGCGTGTATCTGTGATGGAAAGATACCTAGAACTTATTGTTGAAGTTGGAAAGATACACGAGTGCTCTTGATTTTCTTTTAAGCTCGCTAGAACTGCTTATGGCTGTGATTTATTTATTCACTGTGTTTTTTATCCTCCTATTCAGCAGCTATGTGGTGCAGAAAATTTTCCAGTGATTTATTTTTCCACAGGAAAAATGTTTCATAAATTCATTAGTAACAATGAATGGATGGCAAATTTGGCAGTTTCAAAGTTTTTAGCTGTGCTTAATAAACACAAGTAAAGTAAGCTTGATGAGTTTGATCACTCTCTGGGGTATCAGGAAATTTTCTGATGCAAACTGATTTCTTTTTTTTTTCCTGCTGCAAATTGCCCTATACAAATTGTCCTAATTTGCATAGGAGTCCCACCTGCCCTGAAACCCACATCACTGCTTTTCAGGCGATTTGAGAATTGTAATGAATGATTTATTCACATGGAACAGTGAGAATTTTATGGGTGAGTTGAGCTGCATCTACTAAAGCTGGCCATGAGCATCCTTAAGAGGTTGAATTTACGGAAGTGATTTTTCCATGTTGTTAGTAGCCCATTTTCATGCATTTACTCATCCTTGAAGAGGAAGTCTGGGGGTGGGTGGCAACATTCATATACAGCATTCCAAATTGGAACTGGAGAAGCTAGTGACTGTTTCAAGATAAGTGTAGCTGCTGTTTTGTTTGGCTTTGGAGCAGAAGCTATCAGGTGCTACACTACAAGGTCATCACAGGTCATCAAAGAATTATAAAGTTGGAAGGAACCACAAAGATCATCTAATCCAACCCCCTGCAATGCAGGAACATTTTGCAGACCTTCCAAGTGTCCCTATTTTCCAGGGACAGTCCTGGATTTGCAGAAGCCACCCCAGTTTCTGATTTGATTTCAGAATGTCACGATTCCCTATTTTTATCAGAGAAATGTTGGAGGGTATGCTTTTGTCCAAGGGACGCGGGTGGCGCTGTGGTTAAACCACAGAGCCTAGGACTTGCCGATCAGAAGGTTGGTGGTTCGAATCCCTGCAACGGGGTGAGCTCCTTTTGCTCAGTCCCTGCTCCTGCCAACCTAGCAGTTCGAAAGCACGTCAAAGTGCAAGTAGATAAATAGGTACCACTCCAGTGGGAAGGTTAACGGCATTTCAGTGCACTGCTGTGGTTCGCCAGAAGCGGCTTAGTCATGCTGGCCACATGACCCAGAAGCTGTACGCCGGCTCCGTCGGCCAATAAAGTGAGATGAGCGCCGCAACCCCAGAGTCGGTCACGTCTGGTCCTAATGGTCAGGGGTCCCTTTACCTTTACTTTATGCTTTTGTCCAATGTGTAGTTTGAACCCACAGCCTTGATATTAAGAGTCTCAGGCTCTACCAACTGAGTTATATGCATGAGATGTTGAGGTTACAACTGAAAAACTAGCATGATCCTAGAAACAACCCCCCTCCCCGTGCTCAGAGGCCACTGAGACTGTAGGAAGCCTGTGGAGGCAGAGCAAATGGCAGGTAGAGCCAACTATTTTTAGCTTTGTCCCCATCCTCTGCTGGGAAGTTGACTTCAACAGTTGGCAACACTGAGACTAAGGAGGAAGGAACTGACTAGCTGTGCCACCCACTGGCAGACTATAAAAAAAGATGGCAGGTAACTGGGGGCTGACTGAGGACAGACTGAAAATGGTGAGTCAGGGTCCCCTTTGCCCTAATGGACCATCCTCTTCTGCAAGGACCAAGCTGACTAAGGTGTTCCACCTTGCTCAAATTCTTAGGATCAAATAATGCAATAACATTTCTCTGCATGTCACTCTAGTGATATGCCACCTTACTTCTGGTTTGTTTCTTTGGCCAATTTCAAGTGCTGGCTTTGAACTTTAAATGCTCCAAATTGTCTGTGGCCAGGATACCTTAAGGACCAGTAACTATCTAACTATATACCAGGGATAGGAAACCTCCAGGCCCTGAGCCTAATTAGGTGAGCCAGGCCTCCCCATTCAGTCTGGCAGGCCATTTTGGCCAGGCCATGCCCACCTGTCAATCACCTGTTGATATGATATCACATGTGGGCTGTACGAAAAGAAACTTCAAAGGACAGCACAGGGTTCTTTAAAGCCCCTTTCAAAGAGCCCTGAATTGCACAATGAAGCCCAGGCAATCAGAGGTGCATTCGGACTTCCTAGTGCTGTGTCAACAGGTGGCTGACAGGTCAGTAGCCCTACTCACCTGATGAACTTGGCCCACAGTGGGTAGGAAAGATAAGAATATGGCTCACTGGTCAGACCCAGTAGCCCACCCTTGTTATATATGAACTTGCTTGGTCATAATGTGATGTGTCTTGACTGGCTGTGTAGATAGGGCCTTTTAAGTGCTGCCACATAGAATGGAACTGTTTCAGGGTGAATTTGGGGTAATAGATAATTTTGTGGCCCTAATGCCCAACCTGGTGATGTTCAGCTTCTTGGCTGTAACTTGTTTTGTTTTTATGAAGTTGCTGTTTCAACATGTTTATCATGTTGCTTTGCTTTATGATTGCTGAGCTGCCTTAGGAACCTAATGGGTGGCTTGCCATTACTAATATTTTAGATGCAGATTTCTATTAAATGTAAGCTGGCTCTCATTGACCTGACACATGAAACAGTGGGAATTTGTTTGGTCTTTTAACTTGATCTACTTTCCCCTATATTTTGCTTTCATTAAAATCTGGTGTGGACTACTGTGATCCAGATAAAAGGATTGTGTGTTTTTTTCCTGGTTTCTCTCTGTGTTTGTCTGCTGGGTCTATGCAAAGCCTAATTATCAGTTGCCATAATTTCCAGATTCGCTCAGAAGGAAAGCCTCTGCTTTGCGTCCCTCTATTTGTGTAGCTGGCTGCTGCTGTACCCAGAAATAAGGCAATAAATGCTTTTAGCTTCCATTGCTGCCAAGCAATATTCCGTTTGGAAATAATCCATTACTTAGCAAATACACTGCAAATATGAGGATGGCAAAGGTACAGCCATGAGATGAGACTACAATATTGGGGCTTTTGGATGTGGAGCTCTCTGGCCTTTGGATTCTATCTTTCATTTTTTAGGTACAAATGTGAATTTGATATAACTCTTTGTTGAAAGGATTCAGTTCCTTCCCCTGACAGTAATCCACCGCTTCACTCTTTGTTCAAGGCTATAATTTATCTGCTTAACAGCAGCAACCATCTGTTAGAAAAAAAGGACTAAAACCAAAGCTTAGGTAGGGACAGAAAAAGAAAACAAAATCTGTATAGCAGCAAAGCAGGATTTGTAAAAAGAATGGTAGCAGAAGATTGTACGAAAGGTCCGTTTGAGAGCAAATGATTTTATTTTGAGGAGGCGACTCACAAGCTCAGTATGAATGCTATAAGTTAGGGGTGAGGAACCTCAGAACCTCAATACCAGTTTGGTACATATATTGCAGTGGCATGCAGAAATAAATAGTATGATAAAACTACTGGTTGAAAGAATAAAGAACACTGATGGTATAATACTCCTGACAGACAAAGCCTGACAGACAAAGTAACTGAACTTGGAGAAGCCAGAAGGAAGTAAAGCCTGATAAAACAATCTACCAACAGGTATTTAATGAAGAATCAGCAAAAGAAGAATAGGCTGCTTCTCCCCACCACTCCCCAGTTCAGGTAACGTATTGCAAGGGCTGTTGCTTTATTCCCAATGCTAAGCATGTTTACCTGGGTAGAAGAACGTGTCTCTGAATTGTGATATTGCCTCTTGCTTCTTTGGATGAAGAGGCTGTGTGTGCATTCACAGAACCTTCTGACTTTTGTGTGGCTGAATTGAAACCTACTGTACAAAGGTCAGGGTTGCATCCATTGCTCCACCCTTTTGGCCACTGTCCCTGCCCACCACTAGAATTCAGCCTCCAGAATCTTGCTCATGAAGGAATGTGTCAATTGTGGGATTAAGGATCCCTATCCCTGTTATAGGTAAACTGAGCATCTCAGGAATACCTGGAGCAGATCCACACCATATGTTTAAAAGCACATCCAATGTGCCTTTAAAGCACATTAGTTCCCCCAAAGAATACCAAGCCCTGTTGTTTCTCCCTCACATAGATACAGTTCTCAGACTACATTTCTAAGGTTCTTTGGTGGACGTCATGTGCTTTGAATGTGCATTGGATGTGCTTTTAAATGTATGATGCAGCTCAGCCCAAGGAAGAAAGTAGAAGGACAACACATATTGGAGGCCTCTGAATGACAGTTGCTAGAAATCACAAGTGGGGAGAGTGCTGTAATGCTCAGGTTTTGCTCTTGAGCTTCCTGTAGGCTTCCCCTGTTGACCATAACCTTGTGCGGAAATCTGTTGACAGTTATTTTTGTCTGGAGTTAAGTGCACAGTGTAGAATTTGCAAAACATTTGGCATTCATAAAGGCATAGCACGGCACAGTGCCATAGATGCCATTTATGACTCCACAGACCTGCTAGGGACCTGTGGGTGCAATCCAACCACTACTTGGCATGACATTTAGCCTGCATAATAGACTTCATTCAAAAGATACATTATACTAAACCAAAATTTAATATGCACTGCTGTATGCTGGACAAGCGCTGCCACTCCCCGCCCCCTCCCTTAATGGAGGTTCTGTGTCTGCCTGTCAGGCAGACAATCAGTAGATTAAGCTAGTGCCCTTCAGTGCACCACAATATAGAATTGCAAAATTCAGCCCTGCAAGTGGGAACTGAAGCATTCTGTCCATGATTAAAATATCAGATGTGACAATGAAGGTGGGTAAAATAACTACTCTGAAGGCAGAGAAAATAAATGAACCTCCCTGGGATCTATGGATTAGGGCACTATACAAATTTTATAAAAAACAAAAACAATAATAAAATGTATTTCACTTTTCAAGCTTTAAAAGGAGCTAGAAAAATTCAGATAGGTTTTCCAATAAGTTGCTATATGAAACCTCTAGATTCAACAGCAGTATATCATTGAATACAAGATGCTGTGGAGCAACAGGAGAGGTCTGTTGGCTTCCCAGAGATACCAGGTTGTTTACTATGGAAAACAGAATGGCAGGCCAGATAGATCTTTGAACTGATTTAGCAGGGCTCTTCATCTTCTTGGGCATGCTATGCTTGCTAAGTAGATACAAATTAAAGATGAGCCAACATTTCTCAGAAGATATTTCACTGACAAAGTTTCAGGTTTTCTTTTTTCTCAACACCACCCAACCCAGAAAAAGAAGGCAATTTTCCAGAATATTTCAGAATAAAGAATTTTGAGCCACAGGTTACATTACCAGCATTTGCCATCCAGGTGCCCTCCAGAAGCTGTTACAATGCAACTCCAACATCTGTTGTCCAACATCTGTAGGGCACTAGGTTAGTGAAGGCTGACACATATGTAATGACCTTGTTCTGCAGAGAAGTTCCCAGTTTCTACTTTTGCAACTTTATTTAGTAGGATTTTGGGTAGCAAGACTGAAAAAGGTATTTCTGACAATTTGCAATTGTAATGCAGTAAACTCACAACTTACCCAGAAGTTGCCTATTTGGTTCAAAGGCAGATGGGATTGTTAATGTCATTTATCCCAGGACCTGGCCCTCTTTCCATCTCCCCCTTTTATTTTTATTTTTGTCATGTGCATAAAGCTGAATGTTCACAAGTTAAATGTGCATAAGTTATGGCCTTACTGTAATCACGTTTGGGAAATATGGGAGCATGGTTTGCCTCTTTAAGATGGGTTGGGGAGGATATGTGGCCCTACGTTGTGTTATACTTCAGTTTCAAAGAGCCAAGCCCAGTTCTTTTGGCAGCTGACTGATTGCAGCCAACTAGCATATGTTGGTCCAGGAGCGCCTCTTGATTAATGCCAATTGTCTGAATTATAGAGGAATCAATGACAAATCATGCCGGAGATGGAGGCTTGTCTGTGGCAGGGACACACTCCTAGGTTGCACTTGCTCTGCCTTTCAAGTTGGCAGGCTTGAGAGGCACAGTGGGATTCACTGAGCTCCCCTGACCACACTGGGTAACATTGCCAGGATTTTTGCCTCATGAATCCTGGCTTTTCCTTGCCTGAACCTCCTCACTGCCTGTGGAGGGCAGTGAGGAGTGACCACTACTGACTCGTGACGACGCTGGAAACCCGAGATGGCTTAGTCCTTAACCCACTCTATTTCGAGCATAGTTTGCAAGACCCCAGCTGGTCCCAAGAGACTGCAAAGAAGACTGAATCAAGAAAGTCAAAGAGCCTCCTAAATACATAAATAAAATCTCCAACATATTTTACAGGGACAATAACCATTTTGTCACAGGTGTGTGTGTGTGTGTTAGTCACCATGAAAAACAACAACAGTGTCTGTTGGGCTTGTAATAATTGCTTTTATTAGGGTATAAGTGAGAGCTGGACCATAAA